GCCATCTAGTGTGGAACTTTGTGAAAAAACACAACTGATAAGAACATACTGGAATGTAGCTTGTATGATATCTAATTAATGTCTGTCAATGCCAGTTTCTGGCAAAAGATCTTCTCAGATCTATTTGCAGATACTTGTTCAAGAGGGTTTCTTTTGACTGATGAAGAAAAAAAGTGCTGATCTGGTGGTATTTACTTACTGCTGCAAGATATTTCCTTTAAGAAACATGAGTGAATCAAAATTAATGTGTGTATATATTTAATGACTGATTGACCGGCCTCAGAAGGGAAATATAAATGGGGAATATTAGGTGAGTTTCTGTTTTGGTCCCATGGGAGCTGTGTTTTGGCTGTATGCTGTGTAAATATTTTCATTGATTACCAAACCCAAAGAAAATCACCGGTACCAGTGGCAGATAACAAAGACTAGGGAAGTGGGAACTCCAAAAGGGAACAGCTCACTGGTACTGAGCACGCTGATTTCTTGGTAAATCAGATGCAAGCAAATATCTGAAGTCATGAGAATAAAGTGCAGGTGTTGATGCTCCAGTGGAGGAATTGGTGAGAGAAAGCAGTGGAATCGTGGAAAGCAGAGSTGCTGGGAGTCTGCCAAGTAACCAGCTAAGGGTAAACCCTGTTGCAACACCATGACAGGGCACAAATTCAGTCCATCAGMAGGAAAACAACAGAATGAGGGTGGTGAGGATGTCACAGGCAGGCTGGAACAGCAGAACAGTGCGTCCTGTTCGATGCTTCGCTCAAGATGTGTGTTGATGAATTGGAGAGTTCAGGGAAGGGTCACAAGAATGATTATACTGTAATTGGAAAATAAAACTGCAGCTATTAAGTTTATCATAACAAAGAGGGACTTGATCATAGCATTTCTTTAGAATGTTTTTTTCTCAGCAGATTGAAATATGCATCCATAAACATTTAAGTGGCATGACCTTCTTTCTTCCCTCCTGTGTTCTATTCATCTTGGTGTCCTCAAGAGTTACATAAAATAGTTATTCTGGGACTTAGTGAACTCTACATCCAGAGATCAGGTATTTCAAGGTAGATTTTTCACTACCTTTCAATTAGTGATTTAATTCACTTAAGTAACAAGTTTAGGTGCCAGTAGAAAACAAAAAAAAAGTTCCATCAGAGAGGAAAAGAAAGGTGGGGGAAACATCAAGCTGAAAAAAATGTTAACACTGCAGCAAAAGAGTTCAGAAACACTGAACTCTTACTTCTCATAAAAAGGAAAAGATGATTTTAACAATCATGGATTAATTTATACCACACTAAACACAATATGGGGCTGTAAGTAAGTTCAAAATTTACATTAAAATGTGTACAATTTCCAGATCAGAAGCATATAATTCAGCATATTCTATTAAAAAGGCTGCACATAATTTATTTACTGACAGAATCTACAAATTCAAACTATCCACATATCAGCCTGTGCAAGCACATCAATCCAAGGACATTGGTTCTGATTTAATAAAGGMATCTAGCAGAGCAGCAGCTTGTGTACACATCCAGCTACTAGTGCTTGAACAGACACTAGACAGAAGAAAAAGTTTATAAAATACTGGGGTATTCTGAAGTGGCTTTTGAAAACACAGAACCTAATTAAGGTTTGACTGAAGGCTATGAGTGTTGCGTAATTGGTTTAACCAAGAAGAATAGAAGGCCCAGAACACCATATTCCAGCTGATCCCTGGAAATACTAATTTCATATTAGTGYAGCTTCATGTAGCTCCTGGAGCAAACAAGAAGAATGAGAATGGAATCTGCCCAGTGGTATAAGATCCTKAAGAAGTTTTCAAGATGAATTCTCAGAAACCTTACCATTTTGATAGCAAAATTTCATTCTTTCTAGTGCAGTTTTTTCCCTCCAGAAAAGGTAGGAAATAACCAAAGTGATCCTTCTGCCTCACCCAGTACCCTAAAGAGCTGCCTGCACCTTCAGGAATGGGCAGTGCCCTGGAGCTCAAATGAATCCCCATTTCYGTGAGCATTTTTGCACCCTGAGTTATGTTCTAAGGCAGTAACATCACTTCACTCCCACTGTGCTCTTGATCAGACACTTACAGAACAAAGAGCTCACCTTCTAACAGCTCCCTTATGTTACCTGCACAACAAATAACCCAGCTTTTCATGCCCCTTTAGCTTATCTGTGCTCAATCCTTCACTGCCAATGTTCTTCAGAGCCTTTGAGAAACTTCCACCTGCGACCCTGCTTCAATATGGGGATTATTCTGACAGCAAACACATAACAAAGTGCCTCTAGAAGGAGGTACCGTATTATTAGATCCAAAAATATCCTTTCCAGATACATTTCACACGTTCAGTCTGATAGATTTCCTAAAYTGCTGTATTTGTTCTGAGGTGGTAATTTCTGCAACACGGAATTTGATTTTGTGCAATCAAACAACATTTTGAGCAATAATTAAGATGTGCATAATGAGAATAGTTATATAGCAGGACAGTTGGAGGTTTTTATTTTCTGTTAGCATTATCTAACYGAGCAAAATGCCTGGAAGCTTACAGTAAAAAAAACAACAAATAGGGCAAGACTTTACACAAACACATTTCACATTCCTAAGGAAGATGCCATGGAAAGCATGTGAAAGGTAATATTTTTTTCCTGCCAAACCAGGACATCAGATGACACACTAATTTCCCCATAAATGTTGAGTATATAAAAATATATACTCTGAAAGCCYATACATGGAATTTATCCAAGACAATGATAATACAAGTGAAACTTTTTGTATCAAGAAACAAATAAATAAAATTAAACCCATAAAATGCCAAAACCACAGCTCTGTGTTCCTAAATAGAATGGCATATTCTGTTACCCCTCCTTAGCAAGGACCTTATTTTAAGAAAATATCTATTTCATTTAATTCCATCTTCCTCTTGTCAGGCTTCATTTAAAGTCTTTTAGAAGCAATTACGTCTCATATCTTTTGATTAGGACATTGGAGTCTACTCATTTTACTCAATTAAAATTAAGGTACTGTAGTTTTCAATGAATTTACATTTGGACAGATTGAAACTTTAGCAAAACAAAGTAGGGTTAAAGCCAYGTCCAGATTTCATGGAAGGATGAGAAAAAGTGCACATGAATGCTGATTATACTCTCCAGCAAAGACCAGCATCTTCCTTGAACATATGAGAAGTGTCAATTCAGTGACTGCAGCTTCTCTAAGTACACAGCACTGGATCCATAGAAACTGGAGCTGGAAAGGCTCTTAAGCTGTCAAAGCCAAGCTTTGCAGAGACACTTCCAGTTTTCCAGTAGGTTTGCCCAGAGTGGTGGATGCCCCAACACGGTAAGTGTCCAACTCCAGTTTGGATGGCGCTCTGAGCAACCTGATCTAGCAAGTGGCATCCCTGCCACTTCTGTGWTTCTAGGAATGGGCCATCAATCGATTGCTGGGAAGGGCTGTTACATAGACGCTACTGGGAGTATTTGGACGACTTGGAAAACCAACCAGTCCAATTTATCATTAGAAGATGATGGGACTGCCTTCTGGGCAGCATTTAGCAGTTCATGRAATGAACAAGGACTAGAAGCATCTCCACGAGAAAGTGTCAACATAAAAAGCTGGAGGCCAGGCTGAGGAAACAAGGAGCAGTTCARCTACAGAAGCAGCAAAACAAGAAACATTGCTGCAGCTGAGAGCAAGACTGTCCAACTGATATTGATCCACAAATCATATAAAAGGGGAAGAAGCTTCTTAAAAGACACCCGAGAAGACCTATCCTATGTCTGAAAAATAGGAATGTACCTATGAAAGGAGTTGTTTAGTGTTGTTTATATGCCTGCAGTTATATAACCTATTTGTATTAGGGTGTGCCTCAGCGCAACTACAAGGATATTGTGTTTGAAAACATAAAAAAAATTAAAAACTCATCRGAACTTCCAATTTGATATCATACACTTCAGCAAATGAAATATTCTACTCTGATTTCCAGTGTGCCACAGAGTATCACAGAAGCTACCCCGTACTTAACACTCCCCAGAGTACATCCAGAATAATGCACCCTGTGAAAGAGAGATGTTGACAAACTGGATTTGATCCCTGTACCAGCCATTCATTTACAAGCTGGAYTCGATATATTCTGTGATTCTGAGCTGAGTGGACAGCCACAAAGATGGTAAGGGATGAGWGCACTTGCTCTTGAAGACAGGCAGAGGGAACTGGGCTTGTTCAGCCTGTGTGGCAGGCTTTGCACGTAATAGCAGCTCTCCAAGGCTTGACAGGAGAGGGTCATGAAAATGGAGCCAGGCTCTTCACAATGGTGGAGAAGAAATAAATTGAGACATGGAAGATGATAACTGAATAGGAGAAAACCCTTTTTCACCTCGACGSGCCAAGTAYGGGTTGCCCAGAGAGRCTGTGCARTTGATGAGACCAGATAAAACCCTAGGCAACCTGGTCTGACCTCAAGAGCTGCCCTTGCCTTGAGCGGAAGACTAGACCAGAGATGATTTCAGATATCTCTTCCTGTGACTCGCCGATCACAGATGCTCATGACTGATCGTAGTTCGTGGCTTTTCGCCAGCCCAAAGTGTATGAAACGTCTAGCTCTTCCAAACGCCCAAACACCGTGCCAAGGGCAGAGACCGCGYTACACCGGGAGGCTCCCACCACCTCTGCGCTACACCGGTGCCCAGCCCTCCGCACAGCCGGGGGAGCCGGTCCGCTCGCTGCCGGGGCAGCCTGCCCGCGGCTCGGCGCCAGGCACAGCCCCTCGCCGCCTCCGCTCGGCGCCTCACCGCAGGCACCCCCCGAAACTTTCCCCGGCAGCCTGCGCACGCTCTCGCTGCCCGCCGGGGGAAAGCGTGCTCTCTCTCGCTCCCTCCGTGCAGCGGGCAGGGGAGGCGGGCGGCTGCCTCTCTCCTGCCTCCCTCCTCCCGCCCGCCCGCCGAAGCCTCGCCGAGGCTCCCGCATTGCACCGCCGCGCCGAGCCGAGCGCGGGGCTCGGGCTGCCCGCCCGCCCCGCCGGCGCCCCCGAATGAGCGGAATGAGCGCCGGCGAGGCGAAGGAGTATCTGGCCCGCAGGGAGATCCCGCAGCTTTTCGAGGTAGGCGAGGCGCAGCGGGGAGGCGTTTTCCGCCCCGTCGGGGGATGCTCCGCGCCGGGACCCCGCGGCGGGCAGGGCTGAAGGTGGCTGGAAGGACAGAGCGGCCGGAGGCTGCGGCCGGCGGAGCTTGCGCGGGGAGCGGCGCGGCGGAGCGGCCCCAGCCCGGGCCGGTGGGCGCTGGCGGAGCGGGGCCGGGGCAGCGCTGCCCGCACCCACCTGCGGAGCCCCCGCGGCCGCGCCCCTCCGCCCCTGCGGCCGCGCCGCCCGCCCTCCGCCGCCACCGGAGAGAGCCAACTTGGGTGTCCGCAGGGCAGAGCGGCGCCGGGGAAAGCGAGCCAGGGGCATCTTTGGCGGTCGGGGGGAAGGAAAAAGCCACAACTATTTAGCGAGGTTTTGGTTAGCTTCCTACAAGTTACCTGCTGCTAATGGCTGATAATTATTTCGCCGTGCAATGTAGAATTTTTCCCCCACCCGGATCAGACATCCTGCCATCTGTATATAAAACACACACATATGTATTTTCCCTTTTCTGTGCTGAAGCTAGACATTTTTCTATATATTTGAAAATTGCAGGACACAGACCGTGCTAATGTTTTAATTACACAGTTAGAATGTGAATGGTTTAGCAAGAGATGTAGACAAAACTGGTTTTCTCTAGAGGCTCAAAGCTTGAGCTAGTGATTTTTAAAAATTGGTGCATATCTTCTGCAAAAATACACCATTAGTTGCTGTGATCATTTAAGTAGTATCGTAAGGGCACAGATGCATAGAAATTATATCCTATTTTATAAGCTTAAATATRTGTAAATACCAATTCCTGTATAAACTGTGGATAACAGAGCAAATCCTCAATTGGAGCTGTTTATGCTTACTACTAATACCAACTRTGACCCTCAAGTTTACTCACACAAAAATTAGGAAAAGCACAAAGAACAGAAATCATCCTGGAAGACATGTATTGTTTAGGGCCAGTTGGATGCAGCAGTCTTGTGGAGAGGTGAGATGATGACTGATGTATCACTTTGTCAAGGAAATGTGTCAGAAGAGGGCCTGGCAGTCCTTCCTTCACACTCCCCACAATGCTCGTGAGCATGATGAGTGAAGAATTAATACTGTAGAGAGGGGCTGTCTTATGGCTTGAAATTTGTGATCAATTAAATCAGGAAGCATCTATGAATTTTGGGGATTGTGGGGGTTTTTTTCCCTACTACTAACCAAGATGATATTTGAGTATTTCTCATGATTTTTAAAAGTCCTTTTTTCATTGCTTGTGTAAGTGTTGACAAGAATAAGGAGAAGATAGTTCTGGCTGCACTGATCTTTAAGGAAATAATACATTTTAGTGSTATCAAAGACTACATAGAATATATAAATTTTGGGGCTCTCTAGCTTGCACATTGCTCTGTGTGTACTTGCCAGTGATAGTTGTAAGAAAAATGTAGAGATGTTTTTTGCTATTTTTGGTTTTTATTTTAGTGCAAACAGACGACTATAAAGATATAGCCATGAGCTTCCTTTCTGAGTAATTTTTATGACGTTGGCAAACCAAAATCGTTTGATTTTTTGCAGGCCTCACTTTTATGCATTGGCTTGAAATAGAGTCTGAATATCAAGGAATGTGGTGTTTCTCTGTGCAAAATAAAAGGCAAGGTAAAGGTGCTTGCTTTTTCCTGGCATCTGTCATCATAGAGTGTAATTTTGATCTTACATTTCAGAGTCTGTTGAATGGATTAATGTGTTACAAACCTGATGACCCAATTGAATATTTGGAAAGCTGTTTGCAGAAAGTAAAAGAGCTTGGAGGGCCAGAAAAAGTGAAATGGGACACTTTTGTCAGCCCAGAAAAGAAGACCCTGCCTCCACTCAATGGAGGACAATCCCGGAGGTCTTTTTTCAGGAATGGTAATGTATTAAATTTAAAAATTATCCTACTTCTTCAGTTGTGTGTGGTTTTACATCCACCACTGAATTACTTTATAAACACTTCTATAGCAGATCATTCCTAATTTCTGATTTTCTGTAGGCAAGGGAGTCAAGAATTCTGTTTCCTTGCTTTTTGGCATTTGTTTTTCTTCTCCCGTAATGGATGCTAGGCAGGAGAGAAAATTGTTATCACTTTCCAGCCAAACGATGGATGTTTGCTGTGTAAATGTTTAACACATCAATGGAGCGATTTTTTGTATCCTACCTAAAATGCTTGTAATGATAGGGGCAGATTTGACTCAGTGAACCTGGCTTGTGTTTTCAACTGGTCCTTATGGATTATTTACATACCAACTTAGTGCAGTTAYTACACTATGTGGTTTTTCTAGTTTACATTGGAGCTATATGCTAATTTACTAAATGCAATGTAAATTATAAATTCTTAGAAAAAGGTGCATCTCATTAAATCTAAGCAGATGTCATACCAAGACCTGTAATTTTTTTATTTGTAATGCTAACAAAGAGTAATTAGCTCATCTTTCAGTTGCCATAGTTATTTTTCCTTGCCATCCAACATTTCATTAAACTAATCAGCAAGAACACTGTCTCTATCTGTGTGTACAACATGTATCATTGAAGGAGTCCTGCCTAATAGTAGAGGTTATCTGCACAATATAAAGCTTTTCTTCTCAGAAGCCACTGGTGAGCTCTGAGTGCTGTGGGCAGATGTTCACAGCAAACCTGATGTGCTTGCAAAGAAAAGCCAGAGAAAACTGACTCTGACTGGTTGGGATTTTAGAAATCCGTTAAATAAAGGCAAAAAAAAATATTTAATATAGCAACAGCAAACACATAATGTACAATTATGAGATATTTCTGCTTTATGTATGATACTTATTTAAATCTGTGTACAGACCACGTTTTGAGTYTCCTCTCTATTTCCACAATTCCCAGATTATCTTACTATTTTACAGTGATGCCTGATAACTCTAACTTCCCATACCGCCGCTATGACAGACTGCCTCCGATCCAACAGTTTTCCATAGAAAGTGACACCGACCTCTCTGAGACTGCTGAGCTGATTGAGGAGTACGATGTGTTTGATCCTGCAAGACCTCGACCAAAAATTATCCTTGTCATAGGTATGAAGGCAGTCATTCTGACAAGGTTTTATCTCTGCTACTTTGCCTTTTGATTTGTACTGCTTTGAATTGAATTGAATGCTCATACGAATTTAAATACAATTCTTCCATCTGCCAGAGCAAGTGGTGCAGGCCAATTAAAGGGGTGCAATTGTTAGTGCTGGGGATAAAGCATCCCAACTGTAAGAATTTTAGRGGTTGCAGTGAGCACCTGCACTTGTGTTCTGTAGACTGGCTGCCTCTCAGCAGCTGGAGAGCTCATGGTCTGCATRTGGAGCACATCTGCTGGTTGGATTTCATCTTAACTAAACCTGCCTCATGCATTCCAAGGCAGYAGCACCATGCGAACCAAAGTGCTCTTCCAAAGCATGCTTGGGATTGAACTAAAACATGTTGTAGACATCAACTCATAGCTGATCACAAAAAAATGGTATTTAAAATACTGTGTAAGCCAGCTCAAAAAGCTGATGGGAACTGCCCTCTATATTTAGACCCTTGTCAAATCATTGGTCTAGCTGGAGTGAGAATACACTGTCACAAGTTCATTGCATTGATAAATTAATCCTGAGGTCCATTTGGCAAATGAATCCTRTTCCAGCTTCACAGAGAGTATGCACTCAGTTCACGTTAGTTAATTGTTCTCTCCCAAAATTCTGTCTTGCGAGCTGTTTAGTGTCCTTTCTAAGCAACTCATACTTTCTAGCCTCAGACAAGCATAGGTTATTGAAAAAGAGCTGCAGTTGAAGTGTAAATCAATACTTTATTCTGTTCTTGAATTTAAGTTTTTGCATTGGTTTCCTTATTATCTGGATAGTTGTCTTYAGAAATTTTACCACCAGGCCTAATTCTCTGATTCTCTGGATGGTTTAAAGAGTTACAGCACAGGTGCCAGGTGATGGAGAATTACATTTTTAGTCTATAAAACTTTATTCGTATTAAAGACAGATACTACTTGCATAACAGAGAATGGTATGTAGTATAGTAAAAGGGAACAGAAATRTCTTTCTGTACTACAGAGTGGAATCTCTCGGAACAGCATGTCCTCTAAGCTCTGCATCCAGCAGCTCTCAGAAAKAAGATAGTAAAATAGATTGAAACCAGAAGATAAGGCATTTTTTAAGGTATCTGTGGTATGCCAAAGCAATTGCTCAAGGCATTTGAATTTTATTAATCTTTTGTTTCAGAATTATAGTTTTCAGTATGCAAATCTCTGTGTGTGTTGCTGAAATGTGAAGATTGCAATTAGATGGAGAAATAACACATACGTTTCTTTCATCTTAATTAATTAGCTACCCTGCCTTTTCATAAAGGAGAATAACTGGCTCCTTTTCAGTGACCACAGAGAGCTCTTAATGCATTGAAATCCATGTAGCTCAATTGCAGTAGAGTGATGAATGAAGGTTTGATTTAGGTGAGATAAAGAGAGATTGGCTTTCACCTCTGCAACTGAGTGCAGATGTATTTGAAGTGAAATCCTTGAGCACCAGCGTGTAGTGAACAGACCACRGATTTTACAGAGCTTTTCTTTTCTCCCATTTATATAGGGAACATTGTAAACATTCCATAAAGGCTATTTCAGGTTTATAGTCCCACTGAGTTTCTCTGAATCTATTACAGTGTGATCTGATAGAAACACAATACTATATGTAGCTTAGCAGCTATTGTCCGTTTTTGTAGTGCATGAAGACAATTTCTCCCAAATTCAACTTTCTATTGAGAAAGCACAAAAAAACCCACATATTGGAAAGAGTAACTGAATAAAAGAGACAAAATGAATAAAAGTATACTCTTCATTTCAAGAGAGACTGCACACAGAAAAATGTATTGCATATTTTCAGTTTGCATAAAATGCCAAAAGAAAAAACAGTTAAGCAATGTTTTTGTGTCTAATTAGTGATAACTGATGTGTGTCTGATTAGTGATAATCATCCTGCCTTGCTGAGGTGGTACTGGTCCCAGTCTCTGTTAGGGATTGAAATGAAGCTAAAGACCTGTCTTCTGCTTCGCATATTCGGTGAACTTTTCTTTATTAATGCATTAGCCCAAGATCTTTTTAATGCTTCCATAAAGGTTTTTACAACTTCTTTGCTTTACGAAATCTATCATCCTTATAACGAACTGGGTAGCTCCAGGGCTAAAGAGAACTCACTTGTAAAGGTGGGGGCTTTGTTCTTTTTCTGGGTTTGAAGAAAAGACCTCTGGTGAAAGACAAAGTTGTAAAGGTGTGTAGTGAGTATRTGACTGGATTTTGGAAAAATCTAATGGAACCAGCCAGGATGGCACACATCTGAATCACTGGAAAAATCAAGTTTCTAAAGTATTATAACGCTGGTAAACGAGATTGTGTTTAAAAATGTGCTTGCTAATATTCTTTAAAGAAACACATTTTTACTGTGGATACAGCTTGAATTTAGAGATCTTAAAGTATTAATTAACTGGTGTCATTAGAACCTTAGATCAGTATGTTTTTAAGCTGCACTTTCTTAAAAATATTGCTTAATATTTCAAGAATACACTTTCCTTTTGTGTTCAGTGTTTAAAGGCTAGATCAAATACAGTGGTATCAGCAGGCAGCTGCCCACTGATTTGTTAAATCAAATGCRCATTTAGATTTTAAAATCAAAAGTATTTTTGGAGACGTCATTATTAGATGAATTTATTCTGAATTTACAATAATAAAAGTAAATTAGGAACTTTGAGTATCCACTGACAAAATTAGATTAGAACAACTGCTTTAGTAACACTTTTTGGGTTTCAATCTTTACTCGAAACCTGTTAACAAATGTAATTCTAGATKCAACAAGTGCTCTGTAGTCTAGACATCTTCTAGAAATATGTAAAATGAACATACTTTTCTTGAATAAAGTATCTCAGAATAAGTGAAGAGACCAAAAAMCAAAAGTGATTTGATTTTCCTTTCTTGTGAACAGTTTGTCAATGTGATTTATCTAAGAGTCAGGAATGGATACATAGTTCAATAAATTATGATCTGCTGTGGGAAGTAATTTTGTCCTATCACTTTTCTCTTGTTTTATTACCTGAATGTTTGTCCTCAGATTCTAAACGGATAATCCCAGCTTAATATAAAGGATGTGTTTGGATTAGTAAAAATAAAATTTGTGAGAAGCTTATGAATATRAACCAAATACTTCATTAGCTATTTTCTGATTGCAATTCCAATTGAAGGAACAKAAATGCTGAGCTACACTAATTTTTTTTTCTGCTCTTCTTTAGTGACAAGGCAAACAGGAGTGTGAAGTCTATCTATTTGTTTCAAGCAGGGATTTTTGGCTATTTTGTCCTTTTACAGACTGATCTTTTATCAAGTATCAGTTCTGGTTTTCTGGCAGCTTTTGTATCTCTGTTGGAGCACCAGCGCTGTTTTCCTTGTTTCCAATTCWTCTGTTTGTAATTTTCTGCACTTTATCTATATCTATTTTGCATTTTTATTGTTGCTGGRGTGCAACATAGTCTGTTTCAAACTTGTAAGGTTTGGTGAAATGCATTTGCAGTGGGGAAGGCTGAGCATGAAAGAGAGCAGGGGGAACTGGAGCAGAAGTGCTTTAGAGCCACTTCAGTGGAGAAGATGATTCCCTCTATATCAGATACTTGCATACCTACAAAAGGGGAACATTCTTTATTTTAACAAAGAGGACAGCTAAGTTGTCTATGAAAGAAAGAGTTCAAGCTGAAAAAACTAAGCCCTGGAATTACTGAAATGGAAGAATAGCTGTAGAACCTAACACAGTCTGCTGAAAGAAGAGAGAAACTTATGTCTTTTGTCTTTTTATAACAGAAACAGCAAGTGAGCTGAATGAGAGAAAATTATTGTTCAATTGTGATCCTACTGTATAAGATAAAATRCAGTTTTTCTTTCGTTTTTTTACTTGTGTGTTTTCTGAACATCTGTAGGTGTGCTGTCTAGCTGGATGTTATAGATAAATGCTTGTAGAAACATCATTTAAACAATTGATAATGATAAAACCTTTTTTTCCCCCAAGGGTATAACTAAACTGTGGGCAGGATATGGGGACATGATAACAATAGGAACATTTCTCTGTGCCCTCTCTTGAAAATGCTCCTGCCCTGAGTTCCAAAGGTGCAGCATCAGCATCGCAGTGTGGGGRCACAGAGAGCTCTAAGTGACTGCTGGTGACACTGAAAGTTCTGTGACAGTGATATTGGGSCACAGGCTGGAACCTGGTTACACAGAGAGTGCCCTAAGCACACATGTACAAATATTGTAAAGCTTATCCTGCAGCCAGAACTGTATTGATCATAAAAATGCTTAAAAGCTATTATGGGAACAATACAGATAATATAAAAAGAGTTACAGGATTACTAACAAGAAGCTCAATGCATCCGTATTTACTTTCATTGCATTGCTGCATTTTTTAAAGTTCATATAAAAGGTRTATTTTTAATAAATCTTAATTCTTTGTCTGTTGAAACAAAATTCAGTGTTCTCACACAGAATTCCCCAACCTATAGCTATTTAGGATTGGGAACTATTATCAAAACATTTGGTTTGACTTTGCTTTGTTATACTGTTCAGTACGATAYACTTTTCTATACATCAACATTGATTTTTATCAAAACAATTCCCTGGTTTACATATTGGATTCCAGATTCTCTGTTCATCACATCATAACACGTYCTTTTGTTCAGACAAGGGCTGATTGTTTCACATGCATTCTTGCTGCTGCTGTCCAGCTGACCTTCCCTGCAGCTTTCTCTGCTATGTAATGTAGCTGTTTTCTGTGATTTTGRTGCCCGTTCAGCCTGTGCTATATATATTGAAGGGTCTCTTTATTCTTCAAGTTGTCCAGCAAGCTGAACCTAATTTCTTCTCTGTCAGATACTTCAAGCATCAATACCAGAAGCTGGTATTGCATGGTTCAATAAAAGTCCTTGTACCAAATCACTATGGAAACATCCTCAATGATTATTTAATATTTTTTTTTTGTATTTTAAAATCAAGAAACCCTCAGAAGCTCTTGCAAGCATGTTTAGGAGCAGATTTTATTAGTTCCATTTCTTTACTAGTCCACTGATTTAATTGGTGTATCTAACCAAGTATGATTCTTTCTGACATGAATGCACCTCAGACTATCTGGCTCTGTCGCTGGATCCTGAGAGTTCAAGAAGGGAACAGTTCATTTGTCTGTTCCTTTACTATGGATCAAGAAAAACTCCATTCCAGGAACAGATTTAAAATTAGGTCAAACTTTGAAGAGTACTCTTTTTTTTTTATTTTACATGTGGATTTATATTCTTTTTTTAAAATTTCATTTTACAAACTGTTATATTTATGATTCAATAGATCTGACACATTTCTAGTGGCTGGTAACAGGTCATGCAGTTGCAAGATTTACTCTGATACTGCTTGGAAAATTGGTGACAATAGCAAGGATTTCATGTGTGATCTGATGAAAGGTTAATTTAACATTTTGCTTGTAATTCACACTAGGTGGCCCAGGAAGTGGTAAAGGAACACAGAGTTTGAAAATAGCAGAACGTTATGGATTCAAATACATATCAGTTGGTGAATTGTTAAGGAAGAAGATCCACAGCACAAGCAGCAATAGAAAATGGAGCCTCATTGCCAAAATAATTACTACTGGAGAACTGGCCCCTCAGGTACAGCACTTCCTATGTTAATATTTCCTTTAAAGGCTTTGTACATGCTGTATTACTATGCACTATCAAGAAACTTCCTTCACAATGTTAAATAACTAACTTCTTTTCTCTGTGAAAGGAAACAACCATAACTGAGATAAAGCAGAAATTAATGCAGATCCCTGATGAAGAGGGGATAGTGATTGATGGATTTCCCAGAGATGTTGCCCAGGCAATCTCCTTTGAGGACCAAGTAAGAGACTGTTTTTATTCTTAAAATAACTTACATATCTCTGCAACAATTATGCTTGTTGAAATMATCAGTCAGATTCCAAGGAAGAGCATTGCTCTTTAAATCTTTGCAAGTACGTAATTACAGATTGACAAAAGATTTATGTTACTTTATGTCTTGTCATCTGAAAACAGACTGTTTTGTAGAAAGACATGATAATATAACCAATAGGCCAAGCCTCTTGTTTCGTAATGAAAGTCCTCTCAAGGTGAAGAAGAAAACATGAAATCTAACAGTGAATGTTTTCTGTATCTTAGTGATTTAGAATGTGGGAAAACATTATATTTCTGTATCTATTTGTTCAATAGATTTGTTCTCCTTTAAGAGAAGCATACTTAAAGCAATGCATGTCTTCGCAATGCTTTTAATATCAAATTTATTACAGTGCTTTGAAATGAAGAAAAAAAAAGTCGAAACTGCCCATGCTTTGCACATTTTTGTAAACCAGAAAGTATRCTCTTTTTTTCAAAAAATTAGGTCATTTTGGTTGTTCTAAACTACAGTTCTTAGGTTTAGTCAGCTAAAACTGTATTCCTGAGTTTCCTATTGACAAGTTTTCATGTGTGTATTTTAAACTAATCTAAAAATACTTGAATTCAGTGGAAAAACAAACAGCTGATGTCATTTTCTGATCAAGTGCTGCTAACATAACAGTTATGGTCACAAGAAGAGGTTGCAGTTTCAGAGCTGAATTCTTAGAGTGCCTTCATGCAGAGTGTTTCAAAGTCCTTTATAAATGCTGGTGTACTGCTGTTTCTGTACTTCGATTTCTAAGTGGCATTACCGAGGCAGAAGTAACAAAACAAAGCAKCTAATGAGGCATTTCATTAGTGTGCTTTTATAAGGTATTATTCTGGGCAAAATTTAGAAGACTGAATTGAGGAAATTAAAGGAAACAGACAAAATAGTTATTACAGGAAATAGCAATGACTGCCAGCTATATCTCCTTATAATTAACAAAAGAGAAGATTGATTATTTTGGAAGTGAAACAGCAGAAATGTAGACTTAAAGATCATTTCCTTGATCCTAATYATTTTGTCCAATGTGTTAGTGTGACTTAAGTGCATTTTTTGGTGGCATAATTTAGTGCTGATGTCGTTTTCAATGAAAGAAAGGGGGATATGAAACTGAAGGCAGGAATTAAGTTRTCCTAGGCTCAGATTCTCTTTCTACTTAGGAAAAGCATTTAAACAACACTTGAGTATATTCAGAGAGTTCCTTCATTTTCAGTCTATTGAGATTTGCTAAACCATACTTCCTCTATTCCTGATCCTGCCTGAAAGATAGATCACCACCTAAGTCAGGAGTACTTTGTATAGGGACACCTTTCATTCAGTGTATCTGTTCTAGAAAAATATGGGAAAGAAGGAATCACAGACCTTTTATAGGAGTGTAGGCTGTCTGTTTGGGCTCTCCCATTTTCATCTTTCTTTCATCTGACCTGTAAAATGAACTTATATAAGGCTACGGAAATAAATGTACAAAAGATACACATATTTCAACATTCAGCATCCTATATCAACATCACCGGTAAGATATATTCAGTGGTTTATCATGGATTTACAAAGAAACAAAATATACTCCTTGTTCCTTTAAAATTCTCTTGTTCAGTAAGCCATAGTTCTGCTCACATTGGTAGGCAGGGTTTGTTTTCAGGAGGAGGGACTCTCAGCAGTCAGGTACTGATCATCTTTCACAGGATGACACTGCCACTCACCCCTGCCATGTCAGGTTATTTACATTAAGCATGAGAACATTTTCCAGGCACTCAGAGATTCCTCAATAGGAAGTGCAATTGAGTTGTGGAGAATTCAGTAATTAACTGTTGTGAAAATTTGTCTAGGTCTGCAATTAGAGATAGTAGGGGGTTTTCCACAGCTGAGAAATGTTACAGCTTTCTTTCTAGCAGTGTGTAGAAGAACGGAACAGAATTGTTCTCATTAGCCAAAAGTGACAAGGTGAGAAATAATTAGTTGAAATTTCARCAAGGAAAGTTTTAATTAAATAGTAAGATAATTTAAATGAGATCTATTAAGCAATAGGACATCCTTTGAAGAAAATGGTGAAATCCCACAAAATGCAGATAGTAAAATTGTACACAWGCCTTATTCTCACAGATATCCCCTGTAAAACTCTGAGATCTGTTGATTAAAAGTTCTGAATAAGAATTAATTCTTATTGCTATCACTAGTATTGTCATGAGCACTTATTCCTACAGATGGTCCCTTTGAGACCATTGTATGCTTATGTACCTGAAAACAGCAGAAAAATTTGCACTAAATGTACAAATTCTTTACCATTGTTTACAYAGAATATAGGTAGTATTGCCAAAAATAAACAGTGGGGAGTAGCAGAAAAGGAAAAGGAAAAGGACAACTGAGGTGCCTGGTTTTTCTTAAAAGCACATGTAAAATCTAGCTGTGCTTTGTTTGCAGTCTTCTTTAATGTAATAAATTATTTATACTAAATTAATTACTTCAGTCTCATGGTTCATATAGCTGTTACTAAGACTTGAAATGGAGCTTTCATAATCTCTTCATCTTGTGGAAAAATCAAATGGATGCTCTATGTCTGACCTGTCGTTACAGGACCTGTCCTGCAGAACATTCTATTACAGAAATACATCATGATAACGTCTGCTTGTTAAACTTCACTTGTAACTGCTCTTGGTACTAYCAGCACATTTTTATCCCTTTGACTAATCCAGAAGCTGAACTTTTCTCTGGGAAAAAATGTTATTTTTAGTAAACTAGTCAAAGCAAATCAACTTATGCTAACATTCCCATACATAGGTATAGCTAAAAGATGATGATTTCTTCCTTATTATGTTGCCAGACTCTCGTGTGGACAGTAAGTCCTCAACATGTTGCTAGGCAGAATTGTATTAAAACACGTTGCATCTCAGTGACTAAAGTGCCTAAAATAAAGCAATGTATCATTTGCAGCAYGCACAGTGTTTCTCTTTCTGCTCAGATCTAGAAACCAGAACTAACAAACACTGCTTCCATGCAATAATAATGCCAGTCTGGAATAAGTGCATTAGAAAGCACTTTACACATCACAGGAATTTTACATCAGAATTTAAGCTTTTCTCTCCTTCTTTTCCATTGAGTTTGTTAATAACACTGCGTGATCCTTAACTTTTGAGCAGGAAAAAAGGCCTTTAAGATGTTTTCAGATTTTCAGCAGTGCTTAYCAGCCAGCACCACGTTGGTCACTCTGGTCACTTACACCAACTTCATTTCTTAATGCTCAGCTACTCATTGCAGCCTTCTTGCAGCCTGGGAGAACTCAGCCATGAGCACTGCAGAATTCTTTATCTCAGTTTTCTTTGAACTTTTTATCCAAGTTGAAATAAGTCCTGTATTTTTCTCTTTGAAAATGGAKTTTAATAAGCAAATACTCCTTATTGGAAGTCTTGGATTGTTGCCAAGTCCTGACCCTCTCATCTCTTCATTCCAGAGGGCAGAGTCGATACCGCCAATACTTTTGATAGGGGTACTTTTAATAAAGCTATGAAGTTCCAGACAGTCGTAGTTGTGGGGAAAAAATGAAAACATRAATTTTAATGTCTTAAAATCAAGTAGGACTTCCAGTTCATATATTCCTTTTAAATATATGATAATTTCTGCTTTTTGCTCAGTTTGAAATTCTTCTGCATAGAAGTGCAGATTTAATATTGATGYGTTTAGCCTATCAGTTTGAGCCTAGGCATAAATCTACCCTAAAACACAAATTTGTAAGGGATCCATGATCTCGACTGAGTGCAAATAGCAGAAAGGTGTTTAGATTTCAAGGACACATTTGAAAATGCCAAGGAGAAAATGGTTTATTTACTATTAACTTGTCAGCTTGAAATTCAGCAAGTCACCTCCAGTCCCAGCATGCTGAAGCATGTTAAAAATCTTCCTTTCCTGCAATGCTGTAATGAAATGCCTCTGACTGATGTATTGAACTCCAATGGCTTGTGAAGAAAGTGCAGTTTGACTTTCTGTGTTATCTCCCACAAGGTTTTTATCCTTCCCGGGAGAAACAATTAACTGTATTTTACAGTTAATTTCAATTACTGCTATGGTTTGTTTTTTTCCCCACTGTCGGTCATTCATGTGTAACCTTCTTTTCTTGTTAGTATCAATAGAGTAACTACAGATGCARTTTGCTTAAAATATATTAATTATGATTTTTTAATGGTGAAATATAGAAGAAGTATTAGAATCAATGGATGTTCATTAATGAATATTTAATTGCTAGATAGAAGAGAAAAACTATTTTTGTAGAAATTATTTTTTTAAAAAMCTATATTATATGGCCTGGGTAACAAGACTGTATTTGAATAAAACTTAAATTTAAAGAATAAATAGAGGCAACAAATTTTATCTTGTTCTTTGTTTTAAGAGCCCTTGGGAATAYTCATAAATGCACTATACCTCAAATGAATAACTACTCATCTTGGCTGTAATTTGAGTTAATTTTTAAATCTCAGACATATTCCTTAGGGAAACTATTATGAGAATAATTGTGATAAAGTAGAACTGTGTAGGTGGCACAATACAGGATGGTGAGAAGAGCTGCCTCAGCCCTTTGACAGGCTGAGGACAGCAGCARCACTGTTCCTCCAGGACTGACACTCAGATGTCCAAKTTTGACCCAGGTGTTTGTGGCCAGRTGGTCTGACCRCCAAGSTCCTGCTYTGCAAAGAGCTGCTCCCWGAAATCCTGCTCTCCCCAGCCAAGAGTGTGGCCTCCAGAACAAGCAGGGAAATGAATGCAACTTTGTTGTGAGCCTTCTTGAGGGGAAAGGACCTGTTTGTTGCAATAGGTTTTGTTCTGGTAAAGCTATTTTTATTGTATCACGGCCAATGTGCCCTCCTTATTTCATCTCTCCCTAAACTTCTGCCTTCCTTCTCCCCAATCACTATTTCACTGATCCAGGTATGATCCCCTACTGATTATGTACTTGG